TAACCAAATTTAGTGATTCAAAAGCCTAATCCGTGTGGATTTTTGCCCTTTTTCATAATATTAATTCAGTTTTCAAGATCTGCAAGGTATGTGTTTGGAAACCCCAATTTCAGTCCGCCATAGATTTGATAAAATTTGATTTTTGACTTGATTAGCTTGATTTAACTGTTGAATCATGGTTAGTTAGGTTGTATTAGATGAATAATACCATCCATGTGTGATTTAATCAGTTGATTTGCAAGTTTTTGAAATTTTCGAGTTCATGATGAAATTTGCAAAAATCTGGAAATTTTGGGTGATTTGGGTTGAACTGATGATTGAATTGTGTTCCTGGTAGTGTTGTTGTTGATCGGCATCGGTTATGTCATTCTGATTCATTGATTTTTCGAATTTTCAAAAATTTGCTGATTTTGGTGATGTTTTTGGTTGATTTTGGACTTGAATTTTCAGATGCCTCGACATGAGAAACGACAGCGACAAGGCTCGTCTTCGAGCACTGCATCAGGCTCAACGGATTCCTTCAGCAACTACCCAGTTTGCAGGCCTCCATGGCCAATGAAGATACCATCTCGAGTGGCTTGGGCAGGAACTCCGAAGCAGGAGATATCACGGGATACTTGCATACTCTGTGATATTCAGGAGGACTGGGACGAGTACGACACGCTGTTTTATAATGCGTGGCAGGAAGTGAAGATTGTGCCTACCAGGTTCGCGGATGCCACTGTCTTGCAGAAGATGGGTATCTTCGATGAGGTTGTGGAGACTTTGGAGATGATCGGGATGGGCACTATGCCATTCCAGCAGTACGATCTGTACCCAGATTTAATCCGCCAATTTCTCTCTACTGCTCGCGTCTACTACGCGAATGAGCTGGCCAAGCGTGCGCAGGAAGGCACGTTAACATTTCTGATCCGTGGGGTTCGCTACAGGATCAGTCTGATGGAGCTTTGTGGGATATATGATTTCTCTGACCACCCCACAGTCGTTCTCCTTCCTTCACAGTGGACTCATATGCAGACATTCTGGTCCAAGTTTGGGAATGGCATTTATGACAGCAAGACGAGCACGTAGACAGAGGTTCGACATCCGGTCTTGAGGTACATTCTGCGCCTTCTTGGCAACACCATATTGTGCAAGTCTGCGCTGAGCAAGACGCGGGTTAGTGAGCTGATTCTCCTTTACTACGGATTCGCTGAGATGCTTGATGAGGTGATACCTATGGATGGTATGATCCGCGCCAACTTGGACGCTATTTTTGCTGAGCTTTTGGTCTCCTTGAAGACCAAGCCATTCACCAGTCCGGGGGAGAAGACTGAGAGTGTAGGCAGTCTTCTGACACCGATCTTTCATCACTTTCAGATCGATGTCACACCTTGCAGCCTTCACAGTGACAGATCTCGCATGGATGACCAGCATCTGCGCCATGTTACTTGGCTCAAGCCTGGAGTTGTCGGGACATTCACTATCACTGCTGGAGAGTATGTTGGCATTAAGTTACCAAACAGAACGCTCACGAGGATTCAGGGTGTCACACGCCAGCTACTCTTTCTGCCAGATCGGAACTTGCTGCGCCCTTTACCTCTGCGTCCTGCTAGAGCTGCCACTGCTGGCGCTTCCACTGCTGCTGATGCTGGACCATCTAGACGCCAGACCACTACATCCACTGCTCTCAGGTGTCCTCCACGACCACAGACACCCATGGACATGGCTGCTTTTCAGGAGTATGTCATTGACTGCTTTGAGGGACTCTGGGATGCTGTTGCTACACTTAGGAACTGTGGTTGTGTCCACCCACATTACACCACTGAGTCCTGCGAGGATGAGGACTGAGCCTCTTTTATCTGGTTACTTGTTTCTGTTTCTCTTTTCTTTTATTTCTCTTGAGTCATTTTTATGTTTTCTTTGAGTCAGTCAATTACTTTGATGATGTTTTGTGAGATTATTGAACCAGGTTCTTATTGCTATGTTTGGATGTTATTCAATTTGTGTTTGAGTGCTCTAATAGTCTGACTTTGGAGTACATATGATAACATTACGTTAAATAACCATCTAACTTGTCGATTTTGAAGTACAGGTAGCGGTGACGCTCGTCACCGACCCTTCGTGAGGTACCACTTTTTCACCTTGGTTTTACGAGTTCTCATTCATCTTTTTAACCAACTCTTGGCTTAATAACACTGGGGACAGTGTTGTTTAAGTCTGGGGGAGGTGGTTACTAACGTTGTGTGCTTTGTGTCATGTTTATAGAGTCTTAAATTTGAGTCAAAAACCTGTCTTATAGAGTCAAAATTTTGAAATTGTCAGTTTTATTTGGAACTAACCATAGGACGTTTTTGCTTATAAGAACCATTGCCACAGTAGTTTATTACAAGTCTTACTAAGTTGAAAGTCATAGGTAGATCAGTCTAGCAATGTAGGTTTAGGTTTTTAGAGAATCTGAAAAATTTGCTGTTAGCTCCACCTTAATGAACTTTAAACTTCTTATCTTGGGGCTTGATTCTTATTGATCTTGATTCTCTCTTTCAGCACTGACAATAAGGTTAAGATACAATCTCTCTTTGATCTTCCCTAATGTAGTTTTTGAGTTTAAGTCCAAAGAATAGTGCATTCATGACCATGTCTCCTCACAAGGAACAACAGTAATGAACACACTCAAGAACCTGTATCCTCACAAGGAACACAACTATTGAGTAGCACCATATCTTAGACTGTAAAAAATGAGAAAAAGAGTTGAAAAATCGAAAAAAATCAGAAAGAAAATATCAAGGGAAGAGAAAATAGGAGAGTTGTGTTGAGACTGCTTTGTTCAGTTGTTTAAGAAGGGAAAATAATATGTAAGTGATTGAGATTATAAAACCTTGATGAGACTTCACACTTAGAAAAAAAAAGGAGTTAGCAGTAGAAATTTCGGATTTCTTAAAGGGATTTGGACTGGACTTGAGAGATTTGCTAAGCTTGTGATGATTAGAGTGAAATTTGATCTTGTGTTGACTATGTGGTATGTGGATTTGAAAGTGTTAACTAATATGGTGTTCCTGATGTTTGACTAACTGTTTTTTGTTTTCAAACCTCGACCCTGTTCTTTGTCTGATGTTTGCTTGGGGGCAAGCAAAAACTAAGTCTGGGGGAGTTGATATATCATGGTTTTTATGGTTTTTAACCAGGATATAAGTCATTTTTATTGAGTCTTTTTGGTCTTTTTAGAGTCCTAGTAGAGTCTTTGCAGATTATAGCATGTCTGGAGCATAATTGGAAGTTTTGTACTTTTTGGAGCATTGCAAGTTGAAGCCACGAAGTGTCCAACTCGGAGAAGAAAAGTATGCATTTTGGTGACGTTTGTCACCACTTATGGTGACACTCGTCACCCACAAAGGAAGGAGCGTGGCTGGTTTATTAAAAGTATCAAGATTATTTGCAGAATTGGTCCATAAGTTCCATTATTTGCAAGGAGACCCCAGATCGTGTTTAGCTTCTATTTATTAGGTTTTTCAGCCATTGTTGACTAGTATCTTAGTTTTTGAGAATTCAGAGAGTTTTAAGAGAGGATTTTATTGAAAAATTTTGGGGAGACAGATCTTGTACTCTTTTTGGAGAAGATTTAGAACCCCCTTTGTTTTTATTCTATTCTCTTAATGCAAATTTATTCAGTTATGTTTTGTGATTATATGATCATGTCTGAGTAATCTGCTAGTTAAGTTAGGGCTTTTTCAAAGGTTGATGAAGAGTTGTAGAATTGTTACCTGTTAGGAATATCTTTTGGTTTTTCATCTCTGCTTGCTTTAAAATTGAATTTCTTAGAAACATCATCTAGAAATCCGAAAATCATATGTTGTTAAATATATGTGAGAGCATTATCGATAACCTGAACTAGTATTTGATGAGCAAAACAACTTAGTGCAAAGATATTTGGCTTAGAAGTTTTGTGAACAATTGAATTTGATCATATTGCATGTTTAGATTGTTAGGATTTGCAAAGAGATTTGAAATTATGTGATTTAGACATAGATAGATTCTGCAATGAGAATTGATTAGTTATACATTAGTGATTCATGTTCAAAATGGTCCTTAATAATTTCTGATTTCATGCATTCTACATTCTCGGATTCAACCTGCGAACTTTCCTGACTTAGCGATTTTAGTCTTCTGGAACTTAGATTAAACACTAAAATTCGCTTGCTTACTTTTATTTCATCATTCGCATTACATACACCGCAAACTGCTTAGCTTAATCCGAACCTACATTCAATAATGTAGTTTGCATTACTCCTTTTGAATTCGATACCCCTTGTACTACAACTGCTTTGCTGTGCACTAGCAGTGGTTTTATTTGGGTAAAACCTGAGTCCTATCAAGTTTTTGAGGAGTCCCTACATCTACAAGAGATGCAATTTTGGATATCCTTTTGGCACTGACGAGCTTCCAGTTTGTTATCTAGGCCTTCCCCTTCTAACAAAATAGATGAAAGACAATGACTACCTGCCACTATTGGGGAAAATTAGAGGATTAATAACAAGTTGGACTACACGGTCACTAACCTTAACTCAGAGTCTCAACACCTTATGGATCTCAGATTTTTGCTTTCCCAAAGCCTGCATAAAAGATATCGATAAACTCTGCACAGGTTTTCTGGTCTGGTCCAGACTTGAACCCAAAGAAAGCCAAACTTGTGTGTCACAAAGTCTGTTTGCCAAAGGAGGAGGGTGGTTTGGGATTGTGTTCACTAACAGAAGCAAATAACGTGAGCTGTCTAAAACTTATCTGGAGGATTCTCTCGGCACAATCATCTCTATGGGTTAATTGGATCTGAATGAATCTAATAAGGAAAGGTTCTCTCTGGTCGATTAAAGACAAAACATCTCTCGGATCTTGGATGTGGAAAAAAATCTTGAAGTACAGAGAAATCGCTAAATCATTAACCATAGTTGAAGTGCATAATGGGGTTACTACATCGTTCTGGTTTGAGAAATGGGCTATAATGGGCAGATTACTTGAGCTCACAGGCAGCAGAGGTTGCGTGGACTTGGGGATACAACTAAATTCTATGGTATCTTCCGTCCTTGCTATGCATAGAAGGAGAAAGAACCGGGTGGGGCTACTTAACTAAATAGATTAAGAGATTGAACTTCTTCAAAGGGATATGGATATGCAACAAGAAGACATGGTCTTATGGAAGTGAGGAGATGACAAGTTTAAACCTAGAATCAGTTCAAAACAAAACTTGGAAGCTTACTAGAGAGGAAATGCTGCACTATAACTGGTATAAAACACTGAAATACTTGTTTATAACTTGGCTAGGAATCCATAATCAGCTCTCAACTGAGGACAGAATGCAGGCATGGAATGTGGTGGGGGGGGAGTTTCATGTATGTTATGTACTCTCTCGGTAGAAAGTAGAGGTCATCTGTTTATTGAATGTAGCTACTCGGCAACGTTATGGAGGAACCTTACTCAGAAATTGTTACAATTGAGTAGATAGTAGAGCGCATGACGGATGAATCACAGGACCACTTAGCAATGTTCATGCTGAGACTATTACAATCGATGATTCATGCAGTCTGGGGTGAAAGAAACGGTAGGAAACGTGGAGAGACTCCTACCCCTCCAATTCAGCTGGCACTTCGAATTGAGAAACAGATAAGGAACAAGTTCACAACAATTCAAACACTTGGAGACAAACAATATGCAGAAGGAATGGAGAGATGTTTTTCATTAAGGGCATACAGAGATATATGTAAAAGTATCTAGATTTTTATTTTCGGCTCAAACCAAATAACACTTTTTGTAATACTGGTTTTTTTGGGATTAATTTAACATGGAAAATTAGCACTAATGACCATAAAATTTTTTGAAATTCAGCAAATAACCATAACAATTGAGATGCTATAGTATTCATTGTATTTTTTATAATATATACGAAATTACCCTTTTTAATTTTAACGATAATTTTTTTGTTTTTTCTCTTCTTCTGTGATCTTCTCCCCTTCCCCGGCCGTTCCTTCCCTTTCTTTCCCGGTTTTTTATTTTCCTTCCTCTCCTTTCCGTCCCCTCTCTTCTCCTCTCTCTTCCTCCCTTTTCCCTCCCCTTTCCATCCCTTCATTTTTGTAAATAGTATAAATAGTATAGTATAACAATAAAAACTAATATGTAATTACTATACTATATTAGTTTTATCAAAAACAAAACACATATTATCGTATAATCCAGAAAAAAATATAGACAACATGTGTTTTCATAATATTCTCATGCGAAGAAAAAGGAGATTTTAGTAATTTTTATGTGGGTCATGGTTAATTTGCATATTATTTGAACAGCATAGCTATATTCTTTGATTGTTTTTCAAATATGGTTATATAACAAAAAAGCCCATTTAACATTATCATTTAAAAAATTATATAATTTACATCAAATTAAAATTAAAATAATAATTAAATTATGATTAAAAATATAATTAGATAATATATATATATATATATATTAGTCATTTTAATATCAAAATTGTTCGTAGATGAAGATGTAGATTTATAACAAACTAACTGAACAAAGTAAATTATATTCAAGTGAATCATCTAGATGAACAATAAACAAAAAAAAACATTATCAATGATATTGTAGCGAAGTTGCGACGACAAGTCTCCTCCATATGTGGCGAGTTTGCAACAGCCCTTTACGAGGCAATTACGACTGTAAGCTAGCGAGGGATCCCTGCAGTGCAACTCCGCCGCAATGTTTGCGACTGATTTATATTGCGACAGGTTGCGTTATTTTCTGTTGTCTGCAATATTTGTGACATATTGTGTTCCTCTCAAAACTTTGCGTCAAATTCTATCTATCGCAAAAACTACGATGGATTTGCGATTGATTTTGAAATGCGGTAATGCGATAAATTCGCCGCTAATGGCCATTGCATTTTTACATAATTGTCTTGGTTCCATATTTTATTCTCTCCCCCACCTTTTTTACACACCGAACCACTTCCTACGCTCTGCGTCATACCACTTAAGGTTTTTGTTGCTTAACTACCACTTAAGGTTACCCCCAAAAAAACAAAACTTTACATTTTCTATAACGCACCAATTAGGTTGTCCATACAAATTAGATTCTGGACCAAAACCAAACTCTAGAACTTTCTTCCATCTTTCCTGTTTGGGATCATATGCTACTTCTTATGCTTACTTGTAGCGTATATCCCTCCTCTACAAAGCCAAACCTTAACGTCATCATCACTAGGTGTTGAATCGGAAAATCACCACTAGGGTTTGATTAACAATTGTGGGTTTTGGAAAATAAAGTTTTTTTTATTAATAGTAATAAGCGAAGCGATTACAAAGAAAGGGATAACCGTGAGGTTATGCCGAAGTAAAAAAGGTGTTTGTGAAGTAAACTAGAAAGCGTTAGAGTCTCTGGTTTTAGCTCTATTGCTCTCTAGAATGTATTTGATAATTCTCTTGGCTTTCAGGTCCTATTTATTTATAGAGATAGGAGGTCGGATGCTCCGAATTCCTTTTCCTTTTTGTCTTTGCGTATATTTCCATATCATGTATATGGAAATATCCTTTATTCTCCGAGGAGTAAGAAAATTCTCCTTTATCCTTTGAATTAATCTGATATTTCCGGTCTTCAAAGGTTATCTTTAAGAGATTTTCTTAAATCTGAGCTAGGTCGGCGCGGTCCTCTTGGTCTTGATGGGCTTAGGTTATTGCGGGGAAGGTCTTTTAGGAAATGTGCTCATTTCCCCTCTAACAGTAAGTCACCCCCACCCCAGTTCGGCGAGAGACTGATCGTAAATCAGGTCGGCGGACTTCATGAAGTTAGAGGTGGATTTGACTTTGCAATAGCTGTCAGCTCATCGAGAGCATCGTTTCGTGATGGCTAGCCCGGCCCGATTTCAAGTGGATTTATCACGTGGTGCTTCCTCAGAAATATTTTCATATTCTGGCCCATTAGGGCTTCTGCTTTTAAGCGGGAAATACGAAGGGTTTTGCCAAGCGGTGAGATTGTAAAAATCCTGACACGCGTCCTTTTAGGAAACTGTTGATATTTTTTCTTATTTTTATTTACTTTACTTTTACCTCTTCGTCTTCTTGCTTTTGAAAATCTTCATCTTCTTCGCCGATTTGTGCTGCAATCCTCTATAATGATTTTTGTTCACCTGCCTTTTCTTTGCTTCTTCTACCTTGCTCGGAAAATTTCAAAAATGTCTACTTCCTCGAATACTTCTTTTGACGATGACGAGATTTGTCTCGCCGACTGTGTCAAGCGAGCCTGGATTAGTCCGGTTGCTTCTTCTTCTTCTATTTCCGAGGGCTCTTCGGATTCTCAGGACGAGATTCCATCGGATCACCCCGATGCAGACTCTGAAGTAGATTTGGATGGTCCCGGGCTAGCGGGTTCTGAATCGGAGAGCACGATCAAGGGTCTTCCTAAGAAGATCGCAATGTCACCGCATAGGACCGGCATTAAAGATGGAAGGACTTGGATGACTGCAGAAAGGCTTCAAGAACTTTGTTTGAAGTGTGGTTTTCCCGATGAGGTTGAACTGTTACTTCCTCAGGTTCACGAGAGAGTGACCACACCCCCAGAGGGTTATTTCTGCTCATATGAGTGTCATTTCGCAGAGTTTGGTCTTCAGTTTCCGATCTCGCTGCTTCTCCGTTATTGCAAATGGAGGAAGATGCCGGTGGCGCAGCTTACCCATGCTGTAATCCGCCATTTCAATAGCTTGGCGGCGGTGGCTCGTGCGGCTATAGTTCCTTTTAATTGGGACATTTTTGAGAGGGTATCCATCCTGAAGAGAGGAGGGGTGAACCGTGGCGGGTGGCGCCATTTTTACACCATGATGAAGGAGGGAATCATAGGTGGTGATCCGACGAGCAAGGTCCACGAATGGGATCGGTTTTTCTTTTTCGTGAAGATTAACGAAGCATCCATCGGTGGTTCTGATCTCACCCTCTTCAAAACTTGGAGATCGACACCATGTAAGGAGAACAAAATTTCTGATTTTTTTTAATTTTTGATTTTGTTTGGCGACTCGCTGGGTACAAATGCGTATTCGCCATTATAGTGGAAATACGTCTGGGAGATGACCCAATGGGGTTTAGCAGCGACGTCAAGAGGCTGCGCGACCTGAGCCAGCAATTATGGGCCGATAAAGAGAAGTAGGGGGCAGCTAGAAAGAAAACGGTTAAGCCTGCCGAGAAGAAGACCAAACCCCCAAAAGCAGGTAGGTTGCTAAATTAGAGCAGTATTGACTAGTGCTTGATTTTATTAATGTGTTTATTATTTTAGCTTCGCGAGGGGCCTCGCAACCGAAGCCTGCAGAGCTGGTCGGATAAAGAGGAAGGAGGCTTCACCCGGTGTCGCAGGCGCGCCCATGATTGCTTCTGTAAAGAAGAAGAAGACGATTTCCCAGGATCCACCTAGCTCGGTGGATTCTGACGATGCCGAAGTGACCGCTGAGACCGAGACTCTTGCGAGGTAGATTCTCCCCCTCTTTTTTGCGTGTTCGTTGCATCGTGCCGAGGAGGTTTTTGACATTACATCGCTTGCGGTTTATCTGTTTTTTTTAGTTTCTCTAGGTCGGCGGTGCTGGAGAAGTTGAGGAAGATACGGGTTGAGAGAGCCGCAAGGGGTTCTCAGGGTGAATTGTCCCAAACTCCCGCTTTTCGAGCTCCGGGTGAAGGTGACGGGGTTGCTTTTGACGTCGACGGGAGCCGCCGCGAGACTGTTTCCCCCTTACCTCAAGTTTCTGTTCCTCCGGTGCCTCAGGCGGATGTTCATTCGTCGCCTCGGACAGATGTGTCTCAAAGCCCTGAGACACATATCGCTGAAGACGCAGGTCAGGATAGGACCGAGGAGCCCGGTGCGGCTCATTTTGAAGAGCCTACTTTTTCCGAGGTTGCTCCGGACACGGAAGGTGCCAGTCCTAGTGCGCCTGCGCCTGAGGAGGATGCTCCTTCTGAAAAGGCTGCAGGCAGCGCCGAGTCAAGTGTTCCGATTGACCTTAAGCAGGAGGGAGAGTTTTTTTACTATAATCCTCATCACTTTTGTGCGAGATGCGACGGGAATACTCCGGCGATGCTCGATCGCAAGTTTGCCACGGACTTGATCTGGAAGTTCAGGAAGAAGTCGCGATGGGGTAAGCCACTTCGTGAATTGAAGCTGGTGAATTCGATCTCCTCGGCGAGCCAATTGATAGCTTAGGTAATTTTCATTCGTCTGATGATTGCGCTATCCACTCTTTTCTTGTTTTTGTTTTCTAATAGTAGGTCTGGTACAGGGTTTGGGAGCATACATGTCCGACTTTGCTGCGTACGATGATAACTGGTGCGAAGAAGAAGCGATGGTGAACGCGGCGTGTTCTGAGATCAAGGAGCTTAAAAAGGCAGAGGAAGAGAATCGGCTTCTCAAGGAAAGGTGCGCTCAGCTGGAGGGCTCCTTCGACACTTTTAAAAGGCGAGGTGTCTGAAGCTAATCGACTTCGCAAGCAGGTCGCCGCCCTCCAAGCTCAAAACGAGCTTCTCGAAAAGCGGAATGAAGAGAACTTGCAGGAATTTCTTGCTGAGAAGGAGAAGCTTCAGAAGACTTGCAAGGAAGCCGCTTGAGATGCTACCGACAGAGTTTTTAATGACATGACTGCTTGGTTTAAACCGCGTTTAGATCGGATTCAAGCCTCGCTAGTTCAGCGCAAAGAGGTGGAAGCAGCCCTCGTCGGTGTGGAGAAGAGTAGCCATATGGTGGCTTTC